ATATATATATATATATATATATATATATATATATATATATATATAATATATATATATATATATATATATATATGACAACATGCAGCGCCCGTGGGCCCCACAGAAAATATGTTTATGAGAGTTTGGAAAAGAATACGAATTATGGAAAGGGAGCGCCGCTGGAATCTACGCGCCCTTCCAAGGCTTACCGCGTCATCCTAACCTCCCTTCTGTATCCAGAAGGCTCCCGCAAAATTGGCTGTCCGAGATCCGACTGGTTTGATTCAATCCACCATTATGCGGTGCAGCGGCGACCCGCGCGACGGGTGGAAGGGCGAGGAGGAAGAGGTGGAGGAGGAAGAGGAGGTGGAGGAGGAGGGGGAAGAGGAGGAGGTGGAGGAGGAGGAGGGAGGAGGGAAGATCATCGCATTCTATTATTTGCACTTCCCTGGCGTGGTGTTAAAATATCCGCAGCAGGTCCTCACCTACACGCTCCTTCTACATTTCCTGCACAAGCAGGGACTGCGGTGTACACCAACGCTGCGTTGCATGCGACTGCTGTGGTGTGCATTAGCGTTCTGGTTGGCACAGGCGCTGCAGTGCACGTAAGCATTGTGGTGTACACAGGCGCTGTGTTGCACATGGTCGCTGCGGTGTGCACATTCGTTGTGGTGTACGCAGGCGCTGTTGGTGCACGCAAGCGCTGTGGTGTACACAGGCGCAGCGTTGCACACGGCCGTTGCGGTGTACACAGACGCTGCGGTGTACACGCGCGCTGTGGTGCACGCAAGCACTGTGGTGTACACAGGCGCCGCGGTGCAGATCGCTACTTACAAGCTGATCCTACTTGGTCCCGGGCATCCCTAGGCATCCCGAGACGCCGCCAGCGCGGAACGTGCCGTCATCTGGGGGGGGGGGGCGGGGCCGATGACGGCCGGTATCCCGGAAAATAAGAAACATGTTTTGGGGCCTCTGGATCGGTTTTAGCCAGTTTCGGGGCCGTCCAGTGTCGGGGAAACGTAAGACTCGAGTACGCCAGAACTCTGAGAAGGCGGGCCTTCTCCGAAGGCTCGGAAGTAAAGGTTTTCCAAGCCTTCCCGGAAGACACAGAACATTGTTCAAAAGGCGTGGGTCCCTCTTAGAAGCCCCGCCGCCTTCTGAGAAGGCCTTTTCCTTCTCACTTCCCCCCCTCGCTTGCCGCCGAAGTGGTCGGGGAAGCGCGAGAGTCAAGTACGCCAGAACTCGGGTTTGCCAGCGCTTGATGACGAGCGCGTCTTTGATTTTGCCGGTCCAGTTTTCGTGGGATGTATCCAGCGGGATGTCGCTTCAAATTTCGGACTGGGTTTCGTCATTTTCATGATGGCCCTGTCCAACTAAGCCGGGTCCCCCGAACCCGAGTTTCACGTCTCCCCGACAGTGTCGGTATTGTCGACCTCTGGGGCGTTCTTGGATTCGAGGGTGAGAAACCAGTTTGAAGGTAAACTTTCGGAGCTCGGCGCGGATGTGGATCTGCGCTGAAACCCACTGGCGGTGCCGGAGGGGCCGCCCCTGACGCGCTCCGCGCGCCAAGGAAGGGAGGATTCATCGCAGATCCGAGAAAGCCGCGCGGACCTCCGAAAGTTTGTGTCTCCATGCCTGTGCGTGTCCTTCCAAGACGAAGTTGTGACAGCACAGAAACCGTATGACAGCCTGGTGCCTGCTTGAACGGGGCGGGCCTTGGGCCGGCCCCGAGGGCCCTCGGGAGCGCTCACGAAATCTTCAGGACGGCTCCAGTTCGGGTCCTCTGGGGCCGTCTTGGAGCAAGCTGGAGTGGTGGGCTTGTTTTCTACCACCACCACTACCACCACAAGTTGGAGGGGGAGGGTGTCCTTCTCCTCCTTCTCCTTATCCTCCTCCTTATCCTCCTTCTCCTCCTCCTCCTCCTCTTCCTCCTCCTCCGTCCCCTTCCCCCCTCCAACTTATGGTGGTGGTGGTGGAAAACAGGCCCATCATGGAGGTCAGGACTCCGAACCACGCCACACGTGACCTCGATGGGCACGGGGGACCCAAGCCCCCGGGGTGGGAGGCTCCCCCCCCCTGGGAGAGGAGGGGTGCGCCTCCCGGGAGCCCGCTCCCTATACCCTCCTTGCTCACCCGCCCCCTGATGTTAAGTCGGGCCTGTCCCTTTACAGGAGGAATCTTCAAAAATGGTAGAGAACTTCTCTGTGGACGATTTTATGACTATTTTCGACCATTTGGGGATATGTTTTGCCTATTGCTGATTTTTCGTCCAAAATCCGCCTGTAGGAGGAAACGCCCGACCTAACTCCGGTGGGGAAAGGATTTAACGGAAAGGGCGTCCCTTCGACCCAGTTGCGACATTGCTTGGTTCCCTTTGGGCTGGCGCGCCTGGGGAGGAGGCTCATGTTGCCCCCATCACACTTGAGGACCACATCCCAGGAATGATTTAGAGCACCCGGAAAAGTGTCGAAACGGGGTCGAAGCGGCGTCGAACGAGTGTGTCACAGGGCCCGAGACGTGAAGACCTTCGAGTTTCGGTACATCCTGTCTTGGTGCTCGACATGTGTTCTGGCGGTCAAGGCTAAAGCAGGTTGGCGCCTCACAAGGGGAGGCCCTGAGGTGGCCACAGGGGAAGTGGGGAGAGAGCTCGAGATCGCTGGAGGTGGGAGGCGGCCATCCCCTCACGTACGCCGGCACGGTGTGCGGATTCTGCACCATCTTAGTTGCCACCACTGCCATTTCGGCCACAGACAGGCCTCGGACAAAGATGGCGAACACTCATGCCACTTCATCTGTCAACGCCTCCCCCTCCAAACCCGCGCGTGCCGACTTTGAGTTTGGGGGGAAGGGGGGGTGTTCACTAATTGTTTCCCTCTGCCGGAGTTCGTCGTCAAGCTGCGTCCAGGAATTTCGAATGGGTTCTCGAAGATGAGCCACGCCCAGGCAGCCTCGTTTGAAAGGTCCCTGGAGAACCCGTGATACCGCAGAGTGCGCATCGCCTCATGCACACCTCACCCACACATGGATCATCCACGAGCTGCCCCAACTCTCGTCAAGGATACCAGTCTCCGTCCATTGCTTCGTTGGCAGCTGCCCCTGAGACGGAGGATGATATTTTTGTTATGCAAATTCGGTTCGGGACCCAGGGACCTCCCTTTATGAGGTATGTAAACCTGAAAGAGTCGCGCTTTCAGACGAGATGGTGCCGCCACAGGCACCGGCGTTTTCGACCAGACGGTTTTCTCGTACATGCAGCGGCGTGCTTCACAAGACCTCGCGCGCACCAGGCATATAACGCAATCGAGGGGAGTCGTTATTTTTTGTCGTCATCGTTTCATGATCACACCTTTGCGCATCGCGCTCCTCTGCGGGGCAGGTGTTTCTCTTGAGTGCCCAAGAGTCATATACTCTCTCATACCATGTGTGCGGGGGTCGTGGGTCTTATGCTTGGGGTATCCACGATAGAACTCGTACCCGCCACCATGCGAAAACACTACCGCGCATCCAAACAGCAGAACCGCCCCATGTAGGGTCACCACCGTCGGCCGAGGGCTCAGAGGGTTGAGAACGACCAAACGGGCCGCAGGACCGTGCTTTCAGAGCGTGCCCAGCACCGCCCCTCGCCGCAGACGGCGCCTGGTGACAGACTCGCAGCGCCCTCTGTCGTGGGGCTGTGTGCTGGGAGCTCTCTCGTGAAGTCACCATGGCGGTGCTCACGGCCCGCCTCGACCTGGTCCGACCCCCACACTTCGAGCCCATTCTCGATCGCATCCGCTCCGGCCCGAGCCGGCTCTCCCTCCCCAGTGGGGTGTTGCCAGAAGTGCCCCTGGCCCGAGGTGCCCCCAGCTTTTCGTTGCATTGTGGAGCCCCGGAGGCCCTCTGGGCCTCGTCCTGGAGGCCGTTTGGGCCACCCCGAGAATCCTACAAGCCTCGTCAAAAATATCCAGCAGTGGGAGTTGAAATCCTGGAGCGCGATGCTTTTGGGCACTTGTCAGAAAGCGCGTTCTTCAATGCTGAGAGGGTGGGGTCGGTTCTCAGACAACACCGCGTCCGAGTCAACAGGAGTCCCTCAGCATTGGAGTAGCGCTGACCCCACGATCACCGAATTCAGAAGCCTTCTGTTTATTGTGGACGAGGCCTGTAGGGGTACTCAGGCCTGCAGAGGCCGAGCCCGCTCCGCGGCGATGCCGGTGCGGACGCCGCCCCGGTGCGGGCGCGATCCGACCTGCGTCCAGAGCACGCGACGTTTTGGCTGCGAGCTCTCGTCGCTGGGGCACACTCACCGCTGGTCCGCTGCGTCCTTCGGCATGCCAGCAGCACGTGATTTCTGGGCGTGCCAGGAAGGCTTTTGTCCTCGGGCGGTCGAGAGGTTGATTGCTCTTTCTTTGGCGGAAGTAGACATCTGATCTCCAAGATTTGATATCTGGGGGGATTCAGGGTTTCTGGAACGAGCCACGCGGGGCAGTGCGGCGTGCTGCGCATCACGCAGGATCTACCCCAGGCCAAGCAGCCCTACCATTGCGTCGTCGTGCCAGCGTGTGTTCCAGAGGGCAGACGGGTGCAGGTGGAGTGGCAGGTGTAATGGCTCTGCCCGGGAGGGTATACTCGTACATCACCACATTTGTCTTCAGCGCTTGGGCCAAGCATCGGATGAGGCAACTCCGACGAAGTTGGGGGGTATCTTCACTTCACCCCTGGAGGGGCCCAGAGGTCTCCGGGAGTCTCTGGGGGCCTCTGGAAGCCCAGAGGAGGTCCAAGAGCGCCTAGACGATTCGGAAACGCCTGCTGGCGAGGAGCCCCGAACCCTGGCGAAGCTCGGGCGCCACACCTTGGCTGCAACTCCAAGGGGGGACATTCAGCATCGGCGCCAGTGCATCTGTTGCGGAGAAGGCGGCAGAATCCCGCCCCATCCCGCTCAGTCTGGCTTGATCACGGTGCATCCTTGGCTTTCTGGCCCAAACCCGCTTGATAGCTCTTTAATGATTCATGAATCGGGCTCGATGTCCCTCGCCGCGCGCCAGGTACCTCGCCTGCCTGAAGCACCTGCGCCGCAGCGCGCGGTGCCTGAGCGACTACCTGGCCGGCCCGGCCGCGCGGGCCGGCCCCGAGGACAGGCCGGGGGAGGAGGGCCTCTCTCGGGCGTCGCCAGAATTGGCCCCGGCCCACGGTGACCCCAGCTTTCCCAGGGAAGCTCAGATGGCACCGCTGGGGCCGCTGCAGACGACCCTAGAGCTTCGCAGTCAGCGGCCCCAAGCCCCGCCGCCACCCCCGACCCACTGGCCAACAAGGGGCCCCAAGCAGCCTTCATCGGGTCTGGTGGCCTGCATGCAGATCCTGTGGCGGCCGAGCCGAGAACACTGGGTCTTCTATCCCCTGTGGCCTCTGCCACGACACTTGGACAGCAGACCGCCTCGCGCGTGCTGTTGCGCTGAGGCTCCACGGCGCTTGCGGAACAGAAGAGCGACAAGAGGTCCCCCCGTCCGGGCTTGGAGCGACACTTGGACAATGGAGTGCTCTCTGAGGCTCGGGCCGGACGAAAGGGGGGGGGTGGGAAAGGGGGGGTTACGAAATCTGCTGCACGCAGCTGGTTTCGGCCTCACCGAGGGGCCCATTCCTCGATACATAGACGCCTCCAGCGCCGGGAGGCGCCGGGAAAATCAGCTACGTGAGCTGATTCTCAAACTCCCCCTTTGCTATCCCCCCCTTTCGCCCGACCCGAGAGGCTCCACGGGGCCCCGTTGACACTGGCAAGATCCCCCAGCTCAGGAGGAGGCGGAGGAGCAGCGGAGCACCCCGCGGCCCCCTCGGCCCTGGGGCCCTTCTCGAGCGGCCTCGGCCCCGCGCCCTGCAGGCATCCACAAGAGCTTGCGACCAATTATCCTGAAATTCAATATCGGCCGTGCCCGCTATTCGTAAGTCGGGCGTGTCTCTCTACAGGAGGAATATTCCCAAATAGTCGCAAGATAGTCCGGGCACGATTTTTCTATTTTTTTTTGTCATTTTGGAGTACTTGTTCTGACTGTTTTAAATTTTCTGTCCAGAATCCCCCTGTAGGGGGCCTTGCCCGACCTGACGCTATTCCCTCGGAGCCGGCCTGTTCCAGGAAGCCGAACGCAGCTTGCGCTCTGCCGTGCCACACTGCACAGTTCTAGTGCGTCCAGGAACCAACAGTGGCAACTTTGCAGGAATGCCACGAAGCTGCGCCCCCTGCTTCGCACACTTGTCGGCCAACACGGTTCCTCGAACAGGCCAATCCTCATGATCAGTCCCAGCAGCAGTTTCGGAAGAGTGGGCCTTGACCGTGCAAGCCGAGGCTTCCTGGCCAATGCCACCCCTGAAGTCCTTCCACGGATGCCAGCGGGGGCTGTCGTGAGGCATGGTAGGTTCCCTTGCGTTCGCGGGGCAGCCGACTGTGCCGGAGCGTGTTCACCAAGCAGCTGAAGGATAGAGCCCCATTCTGACAATCTGTTCGGCATGTGCAATGCGTCGCCTAGGGAGCCACATGCCAACCCTACCCCTACCCCCCACGATTTCTAAGGGGGAGGGTGGGGTTCACTTCGCTCGGGAGCTCCCGAACGAAATGAATCCCACCCTCCCCCTAAGAAATCGTGGGGGGTAGGGGTAGGGTTCGCATTTGGCCCCCTATCGCCCTCCTGGTCTCTGGCCACCTGGGACGGGGCGGATTTTGGGTGGCGCTGCTCCGCACGTGTGCTGCAAGCGGCGGGCCGGCGCGATCTGCCGCCACGACTGACCACCCCGCTCTGCTGCGGCCTTCATGGTACCAGGACCAAGATGCGGGAGATGGAGGACTTCGGATGCAACCCCTGGCGGGTTCAATTCAGCATGGGCGCTGGTACACACGTGGTCTAAAGCCGGCCTCACCTGGCATAGTCCCGCCTGACCCCAGCTAGTCCGCTTCAAGCTTGGGCGGAGTCTGGGTCGATCCAGCCGCTCGCCCCCCTGATAGGGCTCTAGTAGCTTGTATTCGTTCTTACGAAGACTCCCAGGAGCTGCCTACGAAGAGGAGGACGAGGTGGAGGAGGAGGAGGAGGAGGGAGGAGGGAGGAGGGAAGAGGGGGAGGACGAGGAGGAGGAGGAGGAGGAGGAGGAGGAGGAGGAGGAGGAGGAGAGGAGGAGGAGGAGGAGGAGGAGGAGGAGGAGGAGGAGGAGGAGGGAAGAAGGAGGAGGAGTAGGGAGGAGCGAGGAGGGAGGAGGGAGGAGCGAGGAGGGAGGAGGGAGGAGGAAGGGAGGAGGAGGGAGGGAGCAGGAGGAGGAGGAGAGGAGGAGGGAGGAGGGAGGGAGAGGAGGGAAGGAGCAGGAGGGAGGAGGAGGGAGGAGGAGGGAAGAGGGGGGAGGAGGAGGGAGGAGGGAGGAGGAGGGAGGAGGAGGGAGGAGGGAAAAGGAGGGAGGAGGGAGGAGGAGGGACAGAGTCGGCCGCCGCTGCTCCGGTGGCACGCGCGCGTCGGAGGACTTCGCCCAGAGCATCCGCCGCCTGGAGGAGCGCGTGCGCGCCAAGCGGACGAACGCCCACCTGAGCATCGTCCGCCTGCGCCAGAGGCACGGGGGCAGGGCAGGGGCCCAGACCCCCTCGAGCAGGGACGAAATCACCCGCGGGAGGTGTTTCACCATTTTCGGCCTCTGTGGGCACTTGCCGGGCCTCGGGGCCGTCAAGGAACGGCTCGGGATGACAAGCTGGTCCCGGGGAATAGGTTCAGACCTCGGGGGTCGACGTACTGAAAAACTCATGACGTCGGGGGTCTGCGGGGGGCGTTGGAGGCCCGAGGTTTTCGGAGGCCCTCGGCGGTTGTCCGGCCCCGGGATGATGCCTTCGAGCGGCCGCGCCTCGCCGAGAGCGTTCCGGCATGCCCAGATCAGATCGTCTCTGTAGGCAGGCCGCCGGAGAGCCGAGCTGTGGCCCGCAGACCGGGAGGCTGGGGCTGGCCTGGGGGGGTGGAGAGGGGGGGGGCGGCCTGCTGAGATGCGGGCGTCCAGGTTCTTGAGCACCGGAAGTTCTCGCCCTGATTCGCGCCATGGGGTCCTCGCAGATCGATCCAGCTCGAGGCGTGCCGCCGAAAGAGGAGGTATGTATGTATGTGTGTATTTCTACATATAAATATATATAGAGCCCCAGCGGTGATGTTTCACCATGCTGGAATTTTCCAGGACGCCAGATCTGGGAAGGCCAGGCCTCCAACGTCTACAAAGCCAGCACGGATGTTTTTCGCCGTTCTCAGCCTTTTGGGCGTGTTCTGGCCCTGGGGCGGAAGTCGAAACCAAGTGCCCTAACCAGCCCAACAAACCCAGCCAACCCAGCCAGCAAATCCGCCAACTACCCAACCAGCCACCCCTGCACCCAGCCAACCCGCCAACCCGCCAACACCCGCCGCCTGCCGTCCTTTTACCACAGAGGGGGAGGGACGTATTCCCTAAAGGCGGAAACAAGTAAATCAGGCAGCGCAGAATCCACACAGATAAGAAGACTGAATTAAAGTGGACTGGAGTGGACTGATGTAAACTGGTCTGGAGTAGACTGGACCGGACTGGGGCGGACTCCACTCCATTCCATGTTTCTGATAGATGTTATTATGCCCGACTCGACGCTGCCATCTACCATACTCTGCTCTACTCTACCTGGCTCTACCCTGACCTACTCGACTCTATTCTGGACGCTTCGTGTAACCCACCAGCCCAAGTTGCCTAGATCAAGCGTGTTGGGGAGCACGTCCGCAAACAGGTTGACGCAAGTCATCTTGGCTCAACATTTGCGCGCCCAGCTCGATCCTGTCCGCACATGCCGCTGCATTAACAGATTCGACGATGGTAAGGTATGAGCTTGCTTGCTTCGCTTGCCTATGGTTGCAGACCACGTGCGCGTTACGGAGCATGCACCAAAGCAGCCTGGTGCGCGTTGGCTCCACGCCTGGGGTCCGCGCCAGGTCCAGAACGAAATTGCAAAGCCATTACTACATCTGTCCTGTCCGAGCGGCGGTTCCGTACCATCATCCCGTCCTGAGCCCATGGGGATGTCAGGAAGCCGCAGTTTCGTTGGGGTACCCTTGGGACGGGGACCGCAATCATGCCGACCGTCTCGGAGGTTGCTTCATTACAAATCGTGGCAGCAAAATCAGTTTCAGTGAGAATTTCGGTGGCGCTGGGAGCAACAGTGACCAGCTTCCCGTGTGCAAGCGTGCTCCCGTGACGGCCAACCCGACGCCTGACTCGACGACCTACCCGACAGATCAGAGCGAGACCGTCGATGATTTCGAGTGCGAGGTTCGCAAGCCGCAGTGGGTTCAGGAGGGCGCAGTCCGGCGTTTGAGAGGCCCAGTGTTGAACATTCACATACCAGGCCCGTATCATTCTGGGGGAAGGTTCATGTTTGGTCTGGCCGGCAGCGTTGGTCACATGGCGGTTTCTTCATACCAGAGATGGGCAATCTTAAACAAGACGGAGTTGTGGGATGACAGGCATTGGACCGATCTTGAGGACAGATTCTTAGAAGGACGCACGTTAGATGATCTTGGTTGTGGCACCGACCAGGCGACGATACTTAGCACTATCACGCGCCACCCTCTCAATATGTTTTTGCACAGGTGGTTTGCATGCAAGGACTGGGACAAAGTAAAAGACTACGATGGCGAAACGGAGAAGTCAATCGCCTTCAAGGCTGACCTAGAATGCCAGCACAGCGACCCCGTCTACCAAATGGGAAATGAGACTTAGACTTGCATGTATGACAACATCATTCTTCAAGCGTTCGTCGGAGGTGATCGCGCAAAGACGCGGGCAGATCTTGAGCTGGCCAAATCTCGATTGCGCAATTTTGATGTAATCTTCATATTGGAGCATCTTAGCCACACCCTTCAGCTTGCCACCACACGACTGGGATGGAGGCCAGCTGCACAAGGTGCATTTCATGCTACACGCCACTTGGTTGATGAGGCCGAAGACCAAGAACGATTATTCACGACTCATGGAATCACCCATGAGCAATGGCAACAGGTTATAGAGCGGAACAGTCTCGACATTGAGTTGTACGACTACGTGCGCGAGCTCTCATTTGGCATGTTGCAGGCAGATGGCTTCCCAATGCCGACAGAGGATGAGCGCACCGTTGCTCCGCAGTGGAACAATGACGTGCTGCGGATGCGTCGGGCAAGCCTGCGAGAAGCCCACATTGAATAGGGGAAGCCACGCGGGTATCCTTCGGATCAGCAGCACCGCCTTCTGTTGGATCCGCGCCTCCCGGTCCTCGGCGGGCGCAGGAGACGGCACGCACGAGGTATCAGCGCGAGGGGGCCGTACGGTCATTCGTCGTCCTTGGGTGCGTGGCTGAAGTGAGAATCCGTGGTGAGAATTTTGTTCGTTGCGTTGTTGTTGTCGTTGTTGCTATTGTTGTGGTTGTGGTTGTGGTTGTGGTTGTTGCTGTTGCTGTTGCTGTTGCTGTTGCTGTTGCTGTTATTGTTGTTGCTGCTGTTGTTGTTGGTGAATACTCATCTCTAATTGTTGCTGATCTCCGGAAGCGGTTCCGCGTGCTCTCGCCTCGACGCCGGCTGCACTTTCTTTGATAGTGAGGTTCCCGCTCGAGCGTTGGCTTGAGCCTCACTGTGGGCCCTTGGAGGCCCAGCTGCGACAACAACGGCTCCCGCACACCCTGGGCAGAGACGCCCCCGAACTCAGGAACGGCGCTCTCGCTCGAGACTTCCTCGCAATTCAATCAAGCTGGCGGAGGCCCAACGACGACAAGGGCTCCTGCTCGATACGTCCTCACGATTTACTCCGAGAGCCCCTGGCCAAGAAGCCCCCCGAACTCAGGAACGGCGCTCTCGCTCGAAATTCTATTGTAATCCAGGCGATTTGGTGGAGGCCTGGACACGGCGACCAGGGCTCCCGTTCGATATTTCTCCATCGGTATTCCAAGAGCCCCTGGCCAGAGAGGCCCCCGAACTCAGGAACGGCTCTCTCGCTCGAGAGTTCCTCGTGGCTGACAACGAAGAGATTGCCCCGAAGGGGGATGCAATCGGAGATGAAACGGGCGGGTATCTAGGGTTGGGGTATACGGAATGCGAGACACGCGTGTCAGTAAGAGCGAGCAGTCTTAAAGTTATTGTTGTTGTTGCTGTTGTTGTTGGTGGTGGTGTTGTTGTGGTTGTTTGTTGTCGTCGTCCCCCCCGCGACCCACCCGCGACCCACTCCTCGACCCACCCGCGACACATCCGCGACCCACCCCGCGACCCACCCCGCGACCCACCCGCGACTCACCCGCGACCCACCTCGAGACCCACCCCGCGACCCACCCCGCGACCCATCCGCGACCCACCCGCGACCCACCCGCGACCCACTTGCGACTCACCCGCGACCCACCCCGCGACCCACTCGCGACCCACCCGCGACCGATCCACATTGGTTCGAAGAAAAGATCGGTGCCTGCGGCGGGCTAGTTGTATAATTTGTGAAATGTTGGCGCTTGCGGCGGGCTTCTCCAGAGTCTCGCAGACTGCAGACGTCCCCACCGCCACCGCCCCCGCACTGTTATCCGCATCTGCGGGGTGTATTTCTCCGCCGTGGGTTGGCACCATTGTGACCAGCACTACTGGGACCAGCAGCAGCAAGCTTATATGCATCACTTTCAATATCCAACTCTTCCTCTTCCTCCTCCTCCTCCTCATTCTCCCCTTCCTGCCTCCCCCTACTCTTTCTCCATCGGCAGTGAGGGGACTGGGTTTGATCGTCAGCGGCACGGGCTCAATGAGTCGACTGTTGTCCATGCTGCGATAAATAACGACTCAGGCGTCTCATTGCACAGTGCACTGTAGATCCACTTTTCGGAAAAAACGTGTGGGGGGAGCACGCAATGGAATACAGGCGGGGAAGCCGCCATACGCCAAGAGGAAGAGGATGGAGGAGGAACCAGAAGTGGAAGAGGAGGAGGATGAGGAGGGGGAGGGGGAGGAGGGAGAAGGCAGAAGGGAGGAAGGAACAAACAAATTACGCGGATGAAGGAAAAGGAGGAGGAGGAGGGCGAACACAAAGGCCAGAGGACTCTTGGATTTTTCTCGGAATCTCTACGGGTGTCTCGAGATCTTGATGTAAGCTTGTTTAGCTTGGGGGCTGTTGGGGGTCTGTTGGAGGCCTCTTGGGGCCCTCTGAGTCCTCCTGGGCGCCTCTTGGGGCTCTCTTGGGGCACTCTAGGGGGCCACGGGGGCCATCTTGGGGGCATCTTGGAGGTAATTTATCGATCGAAGAAGGAGGGGGTCCAATGAGCGTTGGCCCCCCAGGAGGCCAACTGTGCCCCCAAAACTGAATACAATCAATGATTTACGGGCGCAGCCCGTAATTTGATTCTCGCGAGGTAGACACTGACAGACTGAACTGAACCACCAGGCCGTTAGATGGCAGTTTTATTTCCGCGAGTGAGGATATTTCGGGTGGCAGTTTTAAGCCAGCTGGTGAGCATATTTCGGTGGCAGTTTTAAGCCAGCGGGTGAGAGATATTTCGGTGGCAGTTTTAAGCGCCAGCGGGTGAGGATGTTTCGGTGGCAGTTTTAAGCCAGCGGGTGAGGATATCTCGGGTGAGGATATTTCGGTGGCAGTTTTACGCCAGCGGGTGAGGATATTTCGGGTGGCAGGTTTAAGCCAGCGGGTGAGGATATCTCGCGTGGCAGTTTTAAGCCAGCGGGTGAAGATATTTCGGATGAGGATATTTCGGGTGGCAGTTTTAAGCCAGCGGGTGAGGATATCTCGGGTGGCAGGTTTAAGCCAGCGGGTGAGGATATCTCGGGTGGCAGTTTTAAGCCAGCGGGTGAGGATATCTCGGGTGGCAGTTTTAAGCCAGCGGGTGAGAATATTTGGGTGGCAGTTTTAAGCCAGCGGGTGATATTTCGGTGGCAGTTTTAAGCCAGCGGGTGAGGATATTTCGGTGGCAGTTTTAAGCGCCAGCGGGTGAGGATGTTTCGGTGGCAGTTTTAAGCCAGCGGGTGAGGATATCTCGGGTGAGGATATTTCGGTGGCAGTTTTACGCCAGCGGGTGAGGATATTTCGGGTGGCAGTTTTACGCCAGCGGGTGAGGATATCTCGGGTGGCAGTTTTAAGCCAGCGGGTGAGGATATTCGGGTGGCAGGTTTAAGCCAGCGGGTGAGGATATCTCGGGTGGCAGTTTTAAGCCAGCGGGTGCGGATATCTCGGGTGGCAGTTTTAAGCCAGCGGGTGAGGATATTTCGGTGGAAGTTTTAAGCCAGCGGGTGAGGATATCTCGGGTGAGGATATTTTGGTGGCAGTTTTAAGCCAACGGGTGAGGATATTTAGGGTGGCAGTTTTAAGCCAGCGGGTGAGGATATTTCGCGTGGCAGTTTTAAGCCAGCGGGTGAGAGGATATTTCGGGTGGCAGTTTTAAGCGCCAGCGGTTGAGGATGTTTCGGTGGCAGTTTTAAGCCAGCGGGTGAGCATATCTCGGGTGAGGATATTTCGGTGGCAGTTTTACGCCAGCGGGTGAGGATATTTCGCGTGGCAGTTTTACGCCAGCGGGTGAGGATATCTCGCGTGGCAGTTTTAAGCCAGCGGGTGAAGATATTTCGGATGAGGATATTTCGGGTGGCAGTTTTATGCCAGCGGGTGAGGATATCTCGGGTGGCAGGTTTAAGCCAGCGGGTGAGGATATCTCGGGTGGCAGTTTTAAGCCAGCGGGTGAGGATATCTCGGGTGGCAGTTTTAAGCCAGCGGGTGAGGATATTTCGGTGGAAGTTTTAAGCCAGCGGGTGAGGATATCTCGGGTGAGGATATTTTGGTGGCAGTTTTAAGCCAACGGGTGAGGATATTTCGGGTGGCAGTTTTAAGCCAGCGGGTGAGGATATTTCGCGTGGCAGTTTTAAGCCAGCGGGTGAGGATATCTCGGGTGGCAGTTTTAAGCCAGCGGGTGAGGATATTTCGGTGGCAGTTTTAAGCCAGCGGGTGAGGATATTTCGGTGGCAGTTTTAAGCCAGCGGGTGAGGATATCTCGGGTGGCAGTTTTAGGCCAGCGGGTGAGTATATCTCGGGTGAGGATATTTCGGTGGCAGTTTTAAGCCAGCGGGTGAGGATATTTCGGGTGGCAGTTTTAAGCCACGATGCACAAGTCCCAGGGCATGACAATTCCTTGTGTTGCTGCAAACTTGGGCGACACGGAAATGCATCTGGGCGGTACGTTTACCGTCTTGTCTCGGGTGCCTGCCTTGACTGGTCTTGCTTTGGAACGTGGCTTGAATTTCGACCGGTTGGCCAAGATCAACCAGAGCCGGTCTTTGTTGGCACGGAAAGAATACGAAGCTGCGAAATGGCCACCGCTCGAAGCCAATGCGCTTCGACATTTTCAGTCGGTCCTTGCAGAGCTGTTGCTGAAACGGGAGTCTCCCGAAGCAGCTGTGCTGGACACGATCGGCGGCTTGGCCGAAACAGCAGCTGAGCAATTGTCACTGGCTGACTTCACTGCGGAACTGTGAGCACTTTCTAGGGTGGAAACGCTGCGCAATCATCGTGGCGGCGACGGCCGGTGCCATTTCTACCATAATTTCTACCGGGAGAGTGCGGAAGGGCTCTCGCACGGGGGCGGCTTGTGCAGTTTGAGCAGAGATGGCACCCACGACGAAGAGGAGGGGGCAGGAGCAGGAGGAGGAGGAGGAGGAGCAGGATGATGATGATGATGATGATGATGATGATGATGACGATGATGATGATGATGATGATCATGATGACCATGATGATCATGGTGCTGATGCTGAGGAGGACGATGATGATGATGATGATGAGGATGAGGATGAGGATGAGGATGAGGATGAGGATGACGATGACGATGAGGATTATGACGGCGGGGATGAGGCGATGGAAGGAGGACGAGGGAGGAGGAGGGGTGGAAGGAGGGCACGGAGATCGTGGAAAGGGTGCTCGCAAGGAGAGTGGCAAGGGGAAGAGGAAGGCGCTGGACGAGGAGGCCGACGAGGAGGAAGGAGGCGGAGGACAAGGCAAGAGGCGGCGGGAGGAGGATTTCATTGAAAATGGACGACGGGGGGGGGGAGATCAGCTCGAGGGCGGAGGACGCGGACGGGATGAGGAGGCGGCAGAAGGGAGGAGGAGGTGGAAGTGGAGGAGTCGTAGGAGGAGGAGGAGGAGGTGGAAGAGGAGGAGGAGGAGGAAGAGGAGGGAGGAACCGAGAA